CTTGCTTTCATTCTTTTTTTTTTTTTTTTTTTCAAAAGGGAAAAGATGTTTAACGGCGATTAAAGTAGCGGTGAAAATACGCACGTTATACACTCTGAATAAACGTGGCTAACTACGTGAGTCAAAGCGAAAGAAAGAAGAAAAGTAGTAGTACTGCTTTAATTCTTTTTTTATTTTTATTTTTTTTTTCAGCCTTTTGAGGAAGAAATGTTTAATATATAAATATAAAGTTGGCTCGGTGTGAAAATGTGCATTATACATTCCAAACAAATAAAAAAAAAAGTCCTGCTGTAAGAAGAAGAAGAAGAAGAAAAGGAAAAGAAGAAAGAATGGAGACAATGTATCCAAATATTGGCTCCAAAAGACAATCCTTCCTCCACGATCTCTATCCGTTTCACGACAATTTTACTCACAATCTTTCTCAATAAGTCTGAAATCTCCTCTCTCCTCCCCCCTTCAAAAAAGAGAAAGAAAAAAAACAGAAGGAAAAAAAAAAGGAAGAAAAGTTTCAATCACGGAAGCAATTTAGATATTACTTACGTGGAGAGTGGTTCTCTGCTGTCTGAAGAGAACTGACGAACAAGTGGAAGAGGGGTAAGAGTGAAAAAAATAAGACGTGAAAGGTAGTGTGCTCGTCTGAAAGAAGAAAGAACGAGCAGAGAAGGGAGGGCAAAAAAGAAGGCGAAGAAAGAGAGAGAGAGAGAGAGATGGGGACGAGGATAGAAAGCCGCATAAATGAAAACGCCTGTGAAAACATAAGGCATTCCAACCGAGGAAGAAATAGGCACCGGAAGAAAAAACGAATGGATCCTATGTTTTAGCCCTCTTCAACAGCTAAATACCCGCCATTTCGATGCCAAAGATGCACTTTTCGAATTCTTCGAAACGATATTACACAGTCGGTATTATACAGGATTATCGGAGGAAATCTTTCGACTCTTCCTTCGATATCTTCGTCGCTCTATAAATATCCATTATTTCGACGCGGAGATGTATTTTTCAAAGAAGAATCTTTTTCAGAAAAAAAAATTCTGGAATCTTCGAAACGACCGAGATCACCAGAAGAAATCTCTCGATTTTTCCTTTGCTGTCTTCTTGATTCTATAGACACTTATCATTTCGCATTTTGCAGAGATGTATTTTTCAAAGAAGAATCTTCTTCGAAAAAATTCTCGAACCTTCAAAACGACCGGGATCACAGCAAGAAATCTTTCGATTTTTCCTTTCCTCTTCATGATTCTGTAGACACTTATCATTTCGAGATGTATTTTTCAAAGAAGGATCTTTTTCGAAAAAATTCTCGAATCTTCGAAATATTTCGATCCGACTAGAATTACCAAACGAAATTTTTGCGAATCTATAGAATTAGAATTAGTAAGAATTCCAAGAAATTGTATCGTTGAATGCAGGAAAAATGACAATAGTTAATTTCTATATCTTTAAAAAAAAATAAGAATGCAATTGGCAAATTCAATTATTATTCCCTTAACTCCTCGATTAACTTCCTCTCAAATCGTTCGAATGGTAAAACAGAATACGACAGAAATCGAGACGTGTATCGTGTGTTAATATAAGTGAATTTCGATTTCAATTTTATTCCAATCTTCTTTTCCTCTTTCTTTATTTCCCTATTATTTTATTATTTATCGTTCGTATTCCCTGGTCGCACGTTGACAATTTACTCGGGAGCGTTAAAGGAGGTACGAATATTATTTCGACGACGAACGACGAGTTTTCCAATACTCAATCGGTAAGGAGGAAAAGATTGAAAGACACGTAGAAATGAAGATACGTGGGATGGGAAAAAGAAATCTCGAGTGGAAGCGTGCGAGACAAGAGTAATGTCGCCCTGTCCCGTTAACGTCCTCCCCTCCACTTGAAATATTTTCTACCGTTGTTGCGGTTCGACAGCGGAATGTGTCGATAAGCTACGATTTAACTAGCTTCCGATTCCAACGTTTCATTCTGTGCTAATTTAAGCAGAAATTAAAATGTGACGTGAAAAATGTCGAAATTATACTAAAACGTCTTTCTCTTATATTTATTTAAACTCCACATTTATATTCTAATTCTATTAATATATTTGTCAAAGTACGAAAGATCTCGTGATTGATCTCTTGATTTGATTCGAGTAATCTTTTAAAGTCTAAAAAAAAAACATCAATTTGAAACGAAGCAAAGGAGAAAAGCGTACTGAAAGGATATATATATTCATTCTTGAGAGAAATATTTTTATTCCACACAAGTCTACTACAATTTAAATGTTAATAAAAAAATTTGATTTAAAAGAGAAAAATGGACACTCAAGTGTGTTAATTTGAGAGGAAGAGACAAACTAAGAAATTGGTTGGACAAATTTGGAGAAATGGTAAATGCAATTCCCGTGTTTCAGCTAGTGACATTAACTGTACAAGATCTAATTGTAAATATCCAATTAGAACGAGTGCAGAGCACTGGACTAATAAATTAAACTTCAAGAAGAAAAATGAAGAGGTTAGGAGAGAAGAAAGAAAACGATCTTATTGCTGCTGGATGATTTTCTGTAATTTCGACGTTCGAAATTGTCTATATTAACCTCTCACGATCATGCCTATCTGACACGTGCACAGCAAGTAATACAAAATGCACAAGCCTGAATGAGGCATGGGCAAGGTCACGTTAAAAATGTAACGTGGTTGGTTTGTGTATCGTACCATGTTTTAAAATTGATCGTACTGACCAAAGTTTTTAAAACATTTGATACGCCATTAAAAAATTGCATTTTCACAAAAATATAAAACGTTTTCTTTCATTTCTTACTTCTATATTTTTTATTCTATTCTTGTTAAAAAAAATTATAATATTTTTGGATATTTTTTTATTTTTACAAATATTATATTCGTAAATTATTTTTGAGAGGCTGAAATAAATAAATTTTGAGAGGACAAAGCTACCTCAGCCTGTCAAACTTTAATTAATTATTCATAACTTAATAAATAAGACTAGATTGACATTTTTGTACACGAAATTTTGTCTTTGTTTCGATTCTCCAGAAAATATTCCACGAATGTATCAACACTTTGTAGATATATTTACGTGTGATATGTGTGTATTATTTACACTCTTGCTTAAAAGTTTAGAATTACCACGTTTCACGGAATCGTTTTATAAGAATTTAAAAAAGAAGAAATAAGATTATAATTTAGTACAGAAAATTTATTTGCGCAAAGTAGTTATACTTTTGATATTTGTGACATTGATTTCGAATTAATAGCAAAATCAATAAAATATTTAATCGATATTTCTCTTCTTTTCTTCTTTTTCTTTTTTTAACGATTCGAAAATTAAAATTAAACTTGATTAAAATATTATTTAATCGTATATTTTCGTTTATATTTTTTGATTAAATCTACATTCTAAATATGTATGACGCGAACAAAATTTTTTTTTTTTTTTTTTTTTTATCGAAAACTATAACTATAACGGCGTAAAACACACGGGAAAGCTTCTACAGGTGTACGATGCTGTGTAATCTTATCACGTTGTTCTCCATTTTACTCCGGTTACCGTCACCCACGGCTTTGCCTGCACTTCTGCCTACGAGCAATGGGCGACTCTCTCCCTCCCTTTCCCTCCTCCTCCTCCCCTTCTCTCGCCATTCAACCGAGCAGTCTGGCTTTAAACATTCAACCAGTCTGTCAATCTATCATCCCTGCGGCAGAATTTCGCCACCTAGTTGCTCAATTGTTTGATATCGCCACGCTGAATCACCGATCATGCCCCGGCTTACTTCTGTTGTCGCTTTTATATAATTTGATTTTTTTATTACATTTTTTTTATCGTGCTACGATTTCATATTATTATTATTATTGATATTATTATTATTATTATTATTATTATTATTATGGTTAAAGCAGGTAAAAATTTATTTTCGCACTTTAAGAGTCTATTATTTCAATGAAAAGTAAATGTAATTAAGCCATTTTTATTCTTTTGCATTATTCTTTGAGTATTTAAATTTCTGGCAATCTGGAATAGTTAAAAAAAGTTTTTTTGAAATGAATGAATGGAATTGAGGAAATTTTTTATTTCAATTGAATTTGTTTTTTGTGAAAGAATGTTAAATAAATGTTTAAATTTTGACATTTATTTTTAAAAGACAAACAATCGTATTCTAATCTTACATCGATAATCAACAATATTCACAATATTATTAAATTTCCAATCTTCGAAATTTTTTGATTACCTTGATGCAATTCGAATTCGACGAATTTTTTGACGAAAAAAAAAAAAAAAAAA